GGGGGGGGGGGGGGGGGGGGGGGGGGGGGGGGGGGGGGGGGGAGGAGTCGCGGAGGCGGGGGGGGAAGGGTTGGAGAGAGGAGGGGAGGATGCGGTGGGGTGGAGGGAGGAGGAGGTGAGAGAGGTAAGAGTTTTTTTTTTTGACAAGAATTGTTTTGGGGGTAAAATGGAAATTTATTTAAACATGTTCAATAATGAGGATAGAGGTTGCCCAACTAGGATTTTGTTTTGCTTGGCGCGCATTCATCCTTTTGATAATTGGCTGAGTCAGCGGAAACATGGGATTATCACGGAAGTGCGGTCGGAATGATAAATTGGTCGATTATGGACTGCAGGAAAAGCACGTTTCTGCACATGCAGAAAAGAGAGAGAGAGAGAGAGAGAGAGAGAGAGAGAGAGAGAGAGAGAGAGAGAGAGAGAGAGAATGCTATTTTTTGCCGTTGGAACCTTCTGCTTTTACCAGGCGAGAGGAAGCTCTTTTTTCCCGTTTCGTTTTTGCTGTCTTTTTTTGGTTCAGCATAACGTTAGGACCATATCCATCCTGCCAGAAAATGCAGAAAAGCACTCCAAACGGCGGCGTAAAATGACATAGCGTCTGCTTCTGTTTTCTTGTTCTGTTTTGTTTTCCATTTTTTGTACAAGGGCTGGGACCCTTTAAATAAAACTAGAAAACGTGTCTGCGTCCCTTCTCCTACCACCCCTCTACTACTCCTCCCACGGGTGCTCTTTGTCTCTCTCTGTCTCGTTTGCTCGGTTGCTTGGTCTCCCCCTTCGCTTCACTCCCCACCTTTCTCTCCCTTTTCCTCTCTCTCTCTCTCTCACTGTTTCTCTGAATGATTAATTGCTATCTTTCTCTCGTTGATCTCTGTGATGTGAAGAATGCACATTCTCTCTCTTCCTTTCTCGTTGGCCATGCACATGAGAGAATCTAGGGGGAGAAACTGACAGAGAATGTACAAGAAAGGATTCTCTCTCTTGTGCATTCTCTTTCGGTTTCTCCCCCTCTCTGTCTCTCTCTCTCTCCCTTAGATCCTCGGTGTGTGGGTGGGTGTGGGTCTCTCTCTCTCTCTCTCTCTCTCTCTCTCTCTCTCTCTCTCTCTCTCTCTCTCTCTCTCTCTTGATGAATTATGTACATCCTGTGGGTGTGGGGGTGTGGGGGTGTGGGTGGGTGTATAGCGCAAAGGACTCTCTCTCTGTCTGTCTGTCTGTCTGTCTGTCTCTCTCTCTCTCTCTCTCTCTCTCTC